GTAAGTACTCCTATCCGTGTTAAATGGTTTCTCGCAACATTATAACTGCTACATCCACAGAACAGATTGTTCTGTTGAAAAACAACAGACGTACTGACTAGATCACCTGGTGAAAATAAAAGGAAGACTAAAAAGAAAACTAATGTAGCCATCACATCTAAGAATTGGTAAGTTGCAATATAACAAATTCATGCTTCTGGCTTAATACTGCTTTAATCAGCTATTCTACCTGCTGGCTTACCGAAGTTGCATTTACCCTCTAATTCCCTGTGAATTATGATACACTCCATCATCCTGCCCATTTAAAGTGCCCCTAAACCCAAAACAAATCTGTTACCCCTGATATATTACACAAATATACCAAAAAAGAACTCTAAGATTGCATTACTGTATTGAGAACTGAGAGCCAGGAATCTAGCATTTTTGGTGAACAAGGACAGGGTGTGTATTTCTAGATAAAACAATAAATAGCAATTTGCACCACAGCAAAATCTAAAATAGATAGGTGACTTTAAGTGCCCAGTTATACCGGTGCGTTTTGCAAATTGAAATCGCATCTAATGAATGTGAATGTCAGTGTCTTAACATTTGCGATTTTACTGCAGCGTGGTTTCTAAAGTAGTTCCTGCATTACTTTGTCTGCAGTTTTTTTGCAATTTCACATACATAGAATATAATGGAAATCGCACTGCAAATTGCAAGAAATCATTAAAAATCTTCACAAGTAGTCACCTGTGTCACCTCCTCCCATTCTCGCCTCCATGATTTCTCCCTAGCTTCTCCCATCCTATGGAACTCCCTACCCCAATCTGTCTGGCTGTATCCTAATCTATCCACCTTTAGACGATCCCTGAAAACCTTTCTCTTTAAAGAAGCCTATCCTGCTTATACCTAGTAACCCGCCATTTTTTTCCTCCATCAGCTCATCCCCCCCACAGCTATTACCTTTTTGTATCACTCAACCCTTCCTCCTAGATTGTAAGCTCTAATGAGCAGGGCCCTCTGTAATGTCTACCTTCATTTTGTAATGCGCTGCGCAAACTGTTGGTGCTATATAAATCCTGTATAATAAGTAGAAATAGTCTTCAGAAATCGCACCTGAAATCACACCAAAATTGCATTCAAATTGCGCGATTTTAAATCGCAGCGATGTGACTGTTGACTAAGACTTGCTATGTTTGAAAAGGAAGTGCGGACACACTGCAGCACAACAGAAGGGCATGGCAGGCTTTCTTTTGTTGTAGCTTGGTGTGACACAATCACCATAAGGAGCATTTCCAAGCAGTTGTGGGTGCTCCAAGTGCATAAAGCAGGGTTTATTTAGGTGATTAGGTACATTGTGTGATGCATAGTGTCCTCATGCTCCATAAGCTACCATGGATAAACTGTATTTTAAATCTAGGAACAGTGTACTCATAGAGCCGGTTTTATTCATGTACAGTACAAATTAATAGTACAGTAAATCATTTTGTACCCCTATGTAGAATGCTGCAGCCACTTACTGTTAACTAGGCTGGTGCTACTGTCATTCTTTGTTTTTTTTATTGTTTTTTTTTTTTTTTTCTTTATTGAGTTCTAAGAGTTAAAGTGTTGCAGGCTGAAGGACAATTTGTAGCAGATTAACAATATGATAATAGATAAAAAAAATAAGAGACCTATTTATTAACGTATGTAAACAATGAACACTTTTTTTTTTTTTTTTCTTTTTGGACCCTTTTGAGGTCTGTTAAATATAACATTTGAGGAAATTTTGTTATCTGTACAATAGGTGCAAAAATATCTATTAATCCAACCCAGATATCCAATAAGTTTGCAACGTCCTGTGCACTCTGTCTCTTCTGCACTGATACAGTGCATCCAGAAAGTATTCACAGTGCTTAACTTTTGACACATTTTGTTATGTTACAGCCTTATTCCAAAAAGGATTAAATTAATTTTTTTCATCGACATTCTACAAACAATACTCCAACGACAATGACAACGTGAAAGAAGTTTGTTTTGAAATCTTTGCAATTTATTAAAAATGAAAAAAAAAAAACCACATGTACATAAGTATTTACACAGCCTTTGCTCAATACTTTGTTGAAGCACCTTTAGCACCACTTACAGCCTCAAGTCATTTTGAGTATGATGCTACAAGCTTGGCACACCTATTTTTGGGCAATTTCTCCCATTCTTCTTTGCAGTACCTCTCAAGCTCCATCAGGTTGGATGGGGAGCGTTGGTGCACAGCAATTTTTAGATCTCTCCAGAGATGTTCAATCGGGTTCAAGTCTGGGCTCTGGAGGGGCCACTCTAGGACATCCACACAGTTGGCCCGTAGCCACTCCTTTGTTATGTGGGCTGTGTGCTTAGGGTCGTTGTCCTGTTGAATAATGAACCATCGCCCCAGTCTAAGGTCCAGAGCACTCTGCAACAGGTTTTCATCAAGGATGTCTCTGTATATTTCTGCATTCATCTTTCCTTCGATCCTGACTAGTCTCCAAGTTTCTGCCGCTGAAAAACATCCCCACAGCATGATGTTGCCACCACCATACATCACTGTAGTGATAGTATTGGCCAGGTGGTGGGCGGTGCCTGGTTTTCTCCAGACATGACGCTTAGCATTCAGGACAAATAGTCCAATCTTTGTTTTATCAGACCAGAGAGTTTTGTTTCTCATAGTCTGAGAGTCCCTCAGGTGCTTTTGGCAAACTCCAGGCAGGTCTGCCTTTTGCCTTTTACTGAGGAGTGGCTTCCGTCTGGCCACTCTACCATACAGGCCTAATTGGTGGAGTACTGCAGTGATGGTTGTTCTTCTGGAAGGTTCTCCTCTTTCCACAGAGAAATGCTGGAGCTCTTTCAGAGTGACCATTGGGTGTTTGGTTACCTCCCTGGCTAAGGTTCTTCTCCCTAGATCGCTCATTTTGTCTAGGCGGGCCACTCTAGGAATCTTCCTGGTGGTTCCAAACTTCTTCTATTTACGGATGATGGAGGCTACTGTTCTCATTGGGACCTTCAATACTGCAGAAAGTTTTCTGTACCCTTCCCCAGATCTGTGCCTTGATACAATCCTGTCTCGGAGGTCTACGGACAATTCCTTGGACGTCATGGCTTGGTTTGTGCTCTGACATGCACTGTTAACTGTGGGACCTTATATAGACAGCTTTACGCCTTTCCTAATCATGTCCAATCAACTGAATTTCTCACAGGTGGACTCCAATCAAGTTGTGGAAACATCTCAAGTAAAATCAGTGGAACCAGGATGCACCAGAGCTCAATTATGAGTGTCATGGCAAAGGCTGTGAATACTTGTGTACATGTTCGTTTTTTTATTTTTAATAGATTGGAAAGATTTCAAAACTAAAAAAAAAAAAAAAAAAAAAAACACTTCTTTCACGTTGTCATTATGGGGTATTATTTGTAGAATGTTGAGGAAAAAATTAGTTTAATCCATTTTGGAATAAGGCTGTAACATAACAAAATGTGGCAAAAGTTGAGCGTTGTGAATACTTTCTGAATGCACTGTATCTCAAGTACTCTTACCAGCCCTGTACAGTTCTCCCCTGAGGACTACAGACCACCTCCCACCTATCGTATGGAAATGAGGAGAGCCTCAAATGAGGGGTTCTATAGTCCTAACCCAGAGTGAGCAGCCTAGACTAGGATAACAATCTTGCTTCACTATAGATACAGTGCAGTAGCTGAGTATTGTCAACCTAGGACTGAAAGAGTATTTGGGTGTACATTCATGCGAGGGATGTTTTTGCCTGCACAGGATGCACAATTCTTCTTTGTATCCGCATGAAGGCAGCACATTCATGCCTATTGAGATGTAGCAGCTGCACGGACACAGCCGCTGCTCCCAGTTTAACATCCATGTGGGTCCCTGAACTCATGCTGCCTGCGTTTGGCTAGACACGTACCTGCAAGCACTTAGATGTCAAATTGGTGGCAGCGGCTGTGTCCTTGCAGCTTCTACATCCCAGTTGACATGAATGGGGCTACCTGCATGCAGATGCACAAAACACTTGTGCATGGCAAACACGACCATTGGATGGGTATTCACTTGAGTAGGATCACCAGATGTAAAAAATTAAAAAATAAACTGAACAAAGTAAACTAATGCTGCCAACTCATCTAAGCACAGTTTGTATAGTTAGTATAATACATTTTTGTTTTTGGTAGATTTACTTTAAAGATTATCTCCTGGCAGATATAAAAAAATGGTGTTTGCAATTCTGTATTTATTAAAAATAATGAAATGTATTTTAAATAAATCTAGTATAAATACCCGAGTCTTTCTTGTTTTTTTTTTTTTGCACTTCCCTAATCAGCAGCACTCATGGTATCAGTAGCAGTACTTTTGGCCAATCAGGCACTGATTGATTGTCATGTGCTTGCAACAAACATGCTGAGGGCATGGAGGGCATGCAGTGGCTGGGAGAGCTGTACAAACTCTATGTAGCCTCAGCTACAAAGCTTCCTCTGATTGGCTGAGATGGAGAGGTTGACGGATGACGTCACAATAGAATACAAAGCTCCCTGTGATTGGCTGACCAGTGTCCAGCCCGACATTATTGTTCTGGTAATGGGAGAGGAAGACCCCCCCAACTCATTTTCTGGACCACAGCACTGTATACTGTATGTAACAGGCTACGTACAGTTTATATGGTGCTCACAGCCACTGCAACAGTTAGTGCAGTAAATAGTTCATTTGGACCAGCTTAGTATGTAAACTTCAGCTTTAAAATAGGAAATGGAATGTTTATTCTTCTATTTCCATTTATAAAATGTAATGGGAAATACAAAGTCCAGATGTGGAAAAGTTGTTTACTTTTCCTTAAATTACATTGAGTGTGTGTATATATATATATATATATATATATATATATATATATATATATATATATATATATATATATTTTTTTTTTATTTTTTATATATCTTTTTTTTTTTTTTTTTTTTAAATCGGAATAAAATATTGACTACTAAGCTTGATTCTTTTTGTCACTCGGCAGCATGGATGTAGATGGCACCCTGACAGTAGACTGGAATGAGTGGCGGGACCACTTTCTGTTTAATCCTGCAGATAACATTCAAGAAATTATCCGCTACTGGAAACATTCCACGGTGAGTTTGGTTATAAAACAAAGATCTACTGAAATGTAGTCATTTATGTTCTCCTAATGTTTGTGTTGATGCCCTTGAGGTTCTCCACTTCACTTCCACTATCCAAAAACATACTGATAAGTTAATTGGCTTCTAGTGAGCCATAGCAAGTGTGTATAACTTAGTTAAGAACATTTGATAGTACATAAGATCACAAGCAGGGGCTGATGGGAATGTCCTCTGTACAATGTTGCAGAGATGCTTGCTTTTTAAGAATAAAGACCTTGAATCAATTCTCTGAGAAATATCTATTCATTGGTCTCTTACAAATGTTCTACTTCAAACGGTATGCTCAGATTTTGCAGTTTTAATTACTTGAAGTCTCTCCTATATTGATGTAGACTTTGTGTGCCAAGGGTAGTGATGATGGCCAAAATGTTATTGGATTTGAAAACTGGATAAAATACCTTTCTTATAAGAGGAGTACCGTACATGTATTGGCTTCCCCCAGATAATTACAGTCCTTTATCATTTGATATAATTAGAGTGCACATTCTCAACTTAAACCACATGCAAACCTAGCACTTCAAGTTTTTTTTTTTTTTTCCTTAATGTGACCTATAATTTGTGCAATCCAACTGCACAAACTGAAATTGCTGTTTAAGGGTGAAACAAAATAAAAAAAATAAAATAAAATAAACAATAATGTGGCTGTGTAGGTGCACACACCCTCTTATAATTAGGGATGTGACTGTGTTTAGAACTGTTATATTGTAAAGCGCTGAGCAAACTGTTGGCGCTATATAAATCCTGTGTAATAATAGAATTAACAATCACATTTAAACTGATAAATAGTAGTCAGTATACACCTGCAATCTTTGAAAGTGACTCTTTTATAAATGCATATTTTTTGCAAGTTATCAGAAGATTGCGGGTGTCAAGCTCCTGCAGACTCTCTGGGGTTTATTTACTAAAGCTGGAGAGTCCAAAATCAGACTCCCTTCTGCATAGAAACCAATCAGCTTCTAACCTCAGCTTGTTCAATGAAGCTTTGGAAAGGAAACCTGGAAGCTGATTGGTTTCTATGTAGAAGGGACTCTGATTTTGGACTCTCCAGCTTTAGTAAATAAACCCCTCTGTGTAGCTGTACCTCCAATTCAGGCAAGCAATTGACAGGAAAATCAATGAAATGCCAGAGTACTCATCACTCCCCCTTGTAGTTCATTTAGAACTGCAAGCAGTCCGTTGCAATGGATGATGGTTCTGATAGTTAATTCATTCACAGAATTCTGTGAATGATTGGCACAGCAGTGTGGGCAGAGCCCCGCTTGGCCATGCTCTTTTTGAATTGTGACAGCAGGTTCCCGGAAGAAAATCCCTGGACCGCTGTCACCGGGGGGGGGGGGGGGGGGGGATAAGATGCAGATTCTGAACATGTTACGTGTTATACCTTAATTAAGGGTGTGACATGTCCACAAAGGTGAACTTAACCTTTAAGCCCATATGAAGGTTGGCTGTTCTTGTAAGATTTTTCTGACATTTACTTAGTTGCGTCTTACAGCAAAAGCCATAGTCTGCAAGAAGCTTCTAAAGCATCAAAGGGATCTCATTGTTGGAAGGTATCAGTCAGGAGAAGGTACACAAATTTCCAAGGCGTTAGATATATCATGGAACACAGTGAAGACTGTCATCAATAAGTGGAAGAAATATGGCATAACAGTGACATTACCAAAAACTGGACATTCCTTCAAAAATTGATTAAAAACTTGCAGGAATTTCTGGCAAGTACAGTTGTGTACTACAAGTGACAACAATCTCCCATATTCTTCATCATCTGGGTTGTGAGGTAGGGTGGCAAGACGGAAGCCTTCATACATTTTCCAAAAACCTATATCAAGTCTGCCGAAAGCATGTGGGGAAAATGTGTTGTGTTTTATAGTCTGATGAGACCAAGATTGAACTTTTTGGACATAATTCCAAAAATTGTTTGGCGCAAAACCAACACTGCGCATCACCAAAAAATACCATACCCACAGTGAAGCATGGTGGACACATTATGCTTTGGGACACAGGAGATGGCCTCACAAGCTGACAAATTTGGAGCACTTTTGCAAGGAGGAGTGGGCAAAGATTCCAAAGGCAGGATATGCCATATTGAAAGACCCCCTACTCCAAAAGCCTGAATGCTGACATAAAATTAAAAGGTGCTTCTACAAAGTATAAGTTTCAAGGGTAATCATATTTGTGCAATCACATTATTGTAAACTTTTTTTATTGTTTCCCCTTTAAAGATTTCAGTTTGTTTTTAATTGCACAGGTTATAGGTCACATTAAGGCCCCTTTCACATGGGGTGGATTCCGTTGCAAACAGCAGGGGAGGCTAAAAATGAAAAAAAATTCAGAAGTGATTTATCTTGGTCTAACTTATTTTTATTTTTAACATTTTTTTGCATCTCAAAAATCTGGGGTTTTTACAGGCATTTGTAGACCTTTTATATCCACTGTACACTGTTTTCTTGTTTCAACTTTTTTAACGAGGTTAGTGTTGCATTCTGAATAAAGTGTGCTGCCTGAAATGTTTCAAATTTCTAATGACTCCTTTTATTGAAAAAATAAAAATCCGTTTGTGATTGTAAACCTCCGGCATGAACATCGCATATCCCTCTATAGTGTGCACTTATCTCAATTAAGAGTGCTAAATGTCATGTCTGCTAGCCGCTTTATTCCTCTGCTATCTGCCTGATTGACTCTTGACAAGTTTTCCTGACAACAAGAGAAAAATGGTGATGGGGAGGGACCTTCAGTAGCTTGACAGGCTCAGCTGTTTCTGTGAGCTCTGTGGCCCCCTCCAGAGTGTCTGTCTCTTCCCTCTGTAACGGAACCAGAACCCAGACCGCACTGAGTTTTTCCGTTATAGCACAACTTCCCCTGTCCGAACACCATCCACGGACCACGCCCTCAAAATCCCTCAGGAAAAAGACAGCACCCAGCTCTTACTAAAACAGGAAGCCAACAAATTTTATTGTACACAAAACAACATGTTTTATACAGAGGGCGGGGGGAAAGACAACCAGGGACAGGAAACACATCATCAGCCCACCCCATCCCACCCAGACACAGAACAATGGGATGAAACACATGGTAAAGGACATTGACCAACCCCCACACCAATACACAAACCGTACATCCCATAATAGTTGGCTGGACAGGAAGACACCATGGGGGGGGGAGCACATGGCAAACAGACAATAGACAGCCATGTGGCCTAGACAAAGGACAACACACAAATGCACAATACTGGGACATTCACATGTACACCCTGTACCCTTAAACAGGCACAGGGTGCGTTAAACATAATGATTTGGGGAGATGATACAGAGGTCCCCCCACCCCCAAAAGTCACTCCCGTCACATATCTTCCCTTTCGGCAGGAGACTAACACAGGAGTATATCCCAGACGGATGTACTCTGAAGTTAGTCTGCACCTCCAGTCCCCCAATGCCAGCACCCACACAGTACCCCATGCAAATTGTCCCACACCAAGCGTTACTCACCCAGCCAACCTCTGCCTCTCCCGTAGAACATACCCGCCGCTGGGGAGAAGTACGGACTGGTCCTTCTCCCGGAAGTCCTCTCAGCCGCTGGAGAGAAGACAGGGTGGCTGGGCTGACTCCATCATTCTGTGGGGGATCTGGGCCGACTGCCCAGCATCCCTGGGGTATCCAGGTGGTGGCTGTAGTCTCATCCACGGACATCGGCTCAAACTGCTGTTGTGAGGTGCCGCTTGCATCCTCTTGCTGTAGCTCCTGCGGTGCTGGTTGTTGTGGGCAGAGATCAACAATGCCTTGCCCTGGTGCCAGCTCTTCTGCTGGGGACCCCACATCTGCTCCGGCTAACTGTAGGGAAGGGAGGCCGACTTCCTCCACTCCCAGACTGTGGATCTGCTGCTGGGATGGCACTCCTCTGTCACTGTCTCCCTGGTGCACAGATCCTGGCTTGGGAGGGAAAACAGTTTCCTCCACTCTGGCTGACTGTGGGGGAGGGAGGACAACAACCTCCTCTCCCTTCTCACCTTGGGCCTCTGAAACTACCACAGGCATGGGGCAGAGGTCCTGGACCCTCTGTCCGGTTGTCAGCGCTTCAGCTGGCGGCTCCCCGGCTGGTTCCTCATCAGTAAAAAAGTTAATCAAATCCCCAGCCTCTGGAACTGGTGTTTGGGGATCGGGGCTCACCATCTCCTGTTCATGGAACTCAGGAGACGTTACCAGTGCTGGGCAGAGTTCAGTACTGTTTGGCCCTGTTGCCAGGTCTACTGCTGGTTCCTCCTCAGCTGAGAGGTCTATCAGATCCCCAGTCTCTGGAATTTCCACTGCTGATTCTTGGGCATGCTGCCGAACATGTCCTAGCAGCTTGCTGTATGCCCTTTCTAGATCCAGTTCTTTCTTTAGCAGGTATTCCAGATCTCGTTTAAGTTCTGAGACCCCTGTGAGACCGAAAATAACCTCTCTGCCTTCTCGTAACTCCTTCAGAGTAGGTTCTCCTCTATTGCCAAATACAAAAAGGTCTGTAAGGCTCTCTCACAGCAATCCAGGCCCACCAAAGTCAAGTCCCTCAGGAGAGCACTCTGTGGACACCCCTAATTATTCCTGCTCTGCGTACCACCGCAGAGCCCGATATCTATTGTCCAGTTCTATCTCCTGCTGGACCAGCCTGTCCAACTCAGCCACCCATTGCTCCTGGGGTTGCTCTCCTAGGAATGGCATCCGTGACTTCTGATGGTCCCTGGCCCGTTCCCCTGGGGTTGGGTAGCACTTGCCTTTGTCCATACCAGCAGCCTGGACCGCTCCTCTCCAAAGCACCTCCCAAATCCGCTGCCTGAGCTCCAGGTACTGATCCATAGACACAGTCCTGGTGTATGTTGCAAGGATGATCTGCAGCAGCCCTGGGAACTCTGATGCCAGGTCCATATCTCCACTGGGGTGACTGACGTCTTTTCCTGCTCTTGAATCCCGGTGGTGGTTTGGATGTGTTTACAGCTGGAAGCACAATCCCACCGCTTGCCACCAATGTAATGGAACCGGAACCCAGACCGCACTGAGTTTTTCCGTTATAGCACAACTTCCCCTGTCCGAACACCATCCACGGACCACACCCTCGAAATCCCTCAGGAAAAAGACAGCACCCAGCTCTTACTAAAACAGGAAGCCAACAACTTTTATTGTACACAAAACAACATGTTTTATACAGAGGGCGGGGAAAGACAACCAGGGACAGGAAACACATCATCAGCCCGCCCCATCCCACCCAGACACAGAACAATGGGATGAAACACATGGTAAAGGACATTGACCAACCCCCACACCAATACACAAACAGTACATCCCATAATAGTTGGCTGGACAGGAAGACACAGCACCATGGGGGGGAGCACATGGCAAACAGACAATGGACAGCCATGTGGCCTAGACAAAGGACAACACACAAATGCACAATACTGGGACATTCACATGTACACCCTGTACCCTTAAACAGGCACAGGGTGGGTTAAACATAATGATTTGGGGGGATGATACAGAGGTCCCCCCACCCCCAAAAGTCACTCTCGTCACACCCTCCAATCAGCTCTCAGAGCTTTTTTCTGAACTTTTCAGTGAAGCTTTAGAAATTCTGGACTTTGCACAGATTTAGAGAAGAGAAGACTGCAGATAAACAGGTACTAATTATATAGGAAGATTTGTTTCATTTCTGTGTATCACTTGAGGCCAGTCAATTCACTGGGTATATGTAAGGGTTTACAACCGCTTTAACCACTTCAAGTCCCGACACTTTTACCCCCTTCCTGTCCAGGCCAATTTTCAGCTTTCAGCACTATCACACTTTGAATGACAGTTGCGCGGTCATGCAACACTGTACCCATATTAATTTTTTAGCAATTTTTTGAGACGGATAAAACTTTATTTTGGTGGTATTTATTCACCATTGGTAATTTTTATTTTTTTGCTATAGAAATGAAAAAATCCAAACATTTTGGAAAAAAAAGTTTTTCTTATACAATTTTGCAAATAAATCTTTTTTTCATAAATATTGACCAAAATATATTCAGCTATATTTTTTAAAAATTACCCAAATTAGTTATTGCCAAAAATTATAATTTTTCAAAAATGTTTTTGACCATTTTCTATTTTTTTTGTTTGTTTTTTTTGTTTTGTTTTGTTTTTTAACATACTGTCACCCTAGCAGTACAGTGTCACTATAGTGATGCTGTACTTCTTGTGGGGGGTGATGAAGATGTATTTATTTTTTTTTTACATTGATTGCTTTTACACCAATAGAGGCTGTAAAAGCAATCATTTCTCCTTCTCTCTGGCTGCATTCTTGCAGCCATTCAGAAATACTGTGAGAGCTGTGATTGGTCACAGCTTGTCACATGGTACAAGGCTGTAGCCTTGCACCATGTAACCTCTGTGATCACAGATTTCACTAGTAGTAAGCAATGATGTCGGAAGTGACATCTTGCTTACTACTATTCATGTGATCACTGATTGGCCAATCAGTGAGCACATGATCAGGACCTCACACAGATGTCCTTTTCAGTGATTGGTGTTCTGCTGTGTCCTCCCAGGGAGCGCGCACAGGCAGTGAATCTGGGAGGACGTTTTGTAAACGGCCACCCGCTCCTGCAATACTTCCGTCCGGCCGTTCATGGGCTGGACGGGAAATGGTTAATATACTGGGCCTAAAGAAAATATGCCATTTTTCCCTTCCCTTCTGAAAATATTAGTTGCCTGGTTGTTGTACTAGCCCTCTGAGTTTTGTGATTTCTGAGTTACTGGCTTGGAGCAACATGCAGGTTCTCTTGACACCCCTGATCTGCGTACATTTTCTGGGCCAGTGACTTAAACAGTAATGAAGCCATAAAAGTCAGGCAGATAGTATTTTTAAGACAAAAGCAATAGCAGCACCCATACTATCCCAAATTGTAAATGTAATGTCTCAATGTTTGTATTCTAAATCAAAGCAAATACTGTGGATAGTCAGTTTCAGTCATTGTTTTCAGATTGTTAAATGTAACTTTGCATTTCTTGTCTAACTCCAGAATGTCTAACTATTTGGACCCAAGCATGTACAGGAATTGTTGTGTACAATTGTGGATACTATGCTATGTTCATACTTTCAGGTCCTGGATATTGGTGACAGTCTCACAATTCCAGATGAGTTTACAGAAGAGGAGAAGAAGACTGGTCAGTGGTGGAGACAGCTTTTGGCCGGAGGAATGGCTGGAGCCGTGTCCCGTACAGGAACTGCCCCTCTTGACCGTTTAAAAGTCATGATGCAGGTATTTCAGCCTTTCCTTGTTATAATAACATTTATCCATAAGAACCTGCATAAATCATGAAGAATGACATAAAATCTGCACGTACAATAATGATTTATAATGTTCTGTATTACAGTTTTATCGCTTTTGGATGTGCTGTACACAGAAAATTAGTTAGGCACTGGTGTGGAAAAACATTTGTACCAAATAGTTGCTTCAGCTACCCAGATATTAAAATTCATTGGAATGAAATGACCTCTAACCTAGACAGTCGTCCATAAAAGGGTTACTATAACCCATATTGCAGTTTGGGTTGGAAAAATATGGTCTTTATATGGTTTTAGTGATATTTGGCAAAAAAATGTAATTGTGAAGTAACAAGATAACTGTTTTGTTCTAGTATTTAGGATATAGAGGTAGAGAAATACAGACAGTTTATGAATTGTAGTTACTGAATAGTACATCGTAATGTTGTGTCATTTTTCATGCACACGGACAATAATTTTTAACTCCCTTAGAAGCCAGAAGCGGTTTCACCAAATAAACGCTTGAAGCTTGTAAGTGTGTACCACATTTACCCCACCTCAAGTGTTTGGGTGTTGATTAATTTCAAATTAAAGTAAGTTAATCTCTTTTGGCTGCACTTCTCATGGGGATCACAGGAGTGCAGTTCGTTCTGCACTCCTGTGACCTGTTTTCAGCTGACAGTGGGCTGAAGTTTGCTGTCGGCTGACATCACTCAGGATGGGGAAAGAACCCGACTTTAAAGTCAGGATCCGCCCCAGAGCTTGGAGCTGTAACTGTCTCAGCCTCTCGTAATCTGCTGAGAGCCTGAGCCAGCTGCAACCTCCTCCTCCACAGCCCAGCGCTCAGTGAGCACTGGGGGGCAGAGCAGACAGCGGTGACTGACAATCACCACTCTCCGCTCGCAATCAGCGGTTATGTGATTGCTGAGTTCTCACATTTAGAGCCGGCGTTGGATAGATGTAACATCGGTCTGATGCTACTTCCACTTAGGCAAGTGTAACTGGACAAAAAAAAAAATCCTATGTTTCTTGTCATTTGAATGAATTAATACTAGCTTTACCATGCGTCTTGACGCGTTTACGTGTGTCAAGCGTTTTTTTTTTTTTTTTTTCAAGCTAAAACCCTATTTCTCCAGGACTCCCTAACAGTGGGTTTCTTTTTTTCACACAAAACGCTGCTAAAGTTCTATGTGTGCATGAACACATAGGATAACATGCAGGGAGGATTAGAGGCAGTAGAAAAAAAAAAAAAAAAAAAGCCTGATGCCCCTAGGAGCAGCTGTAAAAACATCCAGAGTGCATGAGGCCTAACTGTCTATGCACACTAGGTGGCTGAAAAAATGCCAGAACCTCTGGCAGAAAAATCAACATAAAACTGCTCAAAGTGGCTTGTATTGCACAAGCGCTTGAAAGTTAATAGGCATTTTTACTCCAAATCATTTCCCTCTGCTCATTTTTCACTACAATTTAATGTACACTTGAAAATGCCGAATGCTCCTAAACATTTGTGCATATTTATGAGTGTTTATTTGCATCAAGCGTTTTTTCTACCCTAAAGCTCCTCTTAAACATGTGATTCTGATGTTTTGGGGGGTTTTTTTGTGCCTGAAAACACTTCTCTGCAAACATGGCTGTAAACTCCTTAATGTGTAATGCATGGACAAATAGACTAACATAGAGCTGCTTATACAGGCTGAAGAAAAAAAAGCCAAAAGCCTGTATAAATAGCATTTGTTATTGCCATTGGACCCTCAAGAAGAATTCTATGCTTTTTTGCCAGGTACATGGGACCAAAGGAAACTCAAACATGTTGGCTGGTTTGAAGCAGATGGTGAAGGAAGGAGGTGTCCGATCCCTATGGCGGGGGAATGGAGTTAATGTCATCAAAATTGCCCCAGAGACGGCCATGAAATTCTGGGCATATGAACAGGTAAGACTGAATGTATGCACACATAAGTATGCAGTACAACCCTGTGCAACAGTCCTCCCACCTGAGCAACATAGAATGACAGCAAAAATAGAATATTACACCAGCATTTAAAGACTACGTTCACCTTCTGAATAAAACTATTCAGTCAAAGGGCCCAAGTACAGTAGGTAAAAAAAAAACACACACACTCTGCAGCTTAGAAACATTTAAATGCCATACTGATGGGCAACTCCAAAGCCTGGCCAAATAAAATTGCCATTGTCAACGATCTACCCTGTCCTGCCTTGTCCTGGGATGTACCGCACATTGAGTGCACCCTTGGCATCACAAGAGCTAGCACTCTCCCTGTAGCTGCAGCATCCTTAGATATGGTAGCTGTACTCTTAAGTTTTCTTTTTTTTTTTCCTTTTATATTTCACCTGGTACTCCTGTGAACAACACATTTCCTGTCCTAGGGTGGCTACGCTTACTGCTTCTCCAGTGTATCTATGGACAATGCCATAATTGCCACTGAGGCTGGACTACTAACATGTCTCCCGCTCCATTACATGGGGAAATTGGTAGTTTACAGAAGGAAGATGACATTGTTTTGTGTGTCTAATTCAGGTCAAAGCAAGTGACTAGGACTTTGCATTTTGGGTAAAGCTTGAAGTAGAATTAGACACATCCGGTCCCAAAAGCTTGCATTTTTAACAGCTTAAAGCAGAACTGAAGTTCCGATATAACAAACAGCGAATAGACCAGCTCATTGCAGAAGAAACATGCAATGTTGTTTAATAAAATGCACCTACCTGTCTGCTCACAGTGTTCTCTGGTTATGTAAACGGAGCTGCGCATGTCCAGCTCCGCTTACAGCATCAGCACAGTCCCTGTGTGCCGGAATGATGGCCTCCTATACAGGAGGAAATGCCAAAGAGGCTACACCATAGGTGATCTGAGACGGAAAGGTCCCTTGTATGTTAAAAAGTAGCATATTGCAATGCCTCTTGAATGTTCAATACAGTTTTCATCCTGAAGGTGTCAGTGTTGCTCATACATTAATTTCATACAGTTATTTTTTATTCTCTCACCAATGGCTAACTGAATTCCATAGAATAGTGCTCACCATAGCTTAACCAATTCATGACTATGCTCAAAACAAACATTAACACCCAAATCCAATTTTGTAACTTCGGCATGTGTTAGTATAACTGTACAGTTCATCCCAGTTCCTTAGTGTTTCCAGGTGGATTACACCACGTTTTGGTGTCCTTTTAACATGCCGTGGTAAATGACCGCTGCTCAGTTCTCCGGCATTCTTGGAGAAGACAGTTCTCCACTGAATGCCTTTTTATGAAGCGGTGTAGATCAGTTCTCCAAATGAAGGGAAAAGCGATCTACAAATGCTTTGAATGCTAGAAAACAGCTGCTTTTACTATAATCTCGTGAGATTACAGTAAGATCAGTCAAACACCGTTTACTAAGCAGCGGTAAATTATTGCTGCTTCGTTTGCGGTCCCTCCGATTCTCCACCTGTGGGCTGGAGAATCTGGAGGGAGAACACAGATCACCAGTGAAGGGCTGACATCGCTCCTTCATACACTGGCAGTCTGTGTGCTGAGGTGATCAGCGGAGAACATCATCTCTGTTTCCTAAACCACTAATGATCTGAGATCAGTAACAATCCTCAGGATCGCCGCTGATCTCTGTTTCATAAAAGGACACCTTTTTGTTTTTTTTTGTTTTTTTTCAACACAGATCAAGCTCTGATCTAATTAAATGAGGAGCTCTCCTTCGGATCATATTTCATGTTCCACCCGATCTTAGTGTGGAACACGTGACATGTTCCCGCTCCTGCATCGGCTCTGTGATCTGCTGCGTTTGTGCGAAAGCAGTATGAGGTAAAGTCCCCCACCACCAGCTGTCAGTTTTTGAAAAGAACGTGACCGTGTTGTGCTCTGCCCACACGACTGCGTCATTCATTCATAGAGTTCTGTGAATTAATCAACTACAAGTACCGATATCTTTTACTGATGTCGGCTTGTAGTTCTCAATGAACTACCATGGCACTGCTGAGCGCTCTGGTACTTCACCGATTCTTCCTGTCAGTGTGAAACTGCCTACATGGCACCAGTGCAATGCTTTACAGGCTCCTAAAAAAAAAAAAAAAATATAGTAAATGCACATTGTTTTTACCTGCAAAAGATGTGCATTAAATATTAAAGTTGAACTTACCTTTTAATCCTTTTCTTCTCCTCCTCCCCCTCCCTCCTCCCCCTCTCCTCCCTCCCCTCCTCCCCCTCCCTCCTCCCCTCCTCCCCCTCCCCTCCTCCTCCCCTCCTCCTCCCCTCCTCCCCCTCCCCTCCTCCTCCTCCTCCCCCTCCCCTCCTCCTCCCCCCCCCCTCCTCCTCCTCCCTCCCTCCTCCTCCCTCTTCCTCTTCTTCCTCCTCCTCCTTTCCTTCATTACATCAATCCATTTTTTTTTTTTTCTTCAGAGTTCTCTTCTAGCGTGGAAGAAAACATAGAATGTATTTTTTTTTTACTTTACAGAGGAGAAAACACTGGTATGGGTCTAGTTGTGATCACTTTGATTGGCTAACCACAGTGATCACATGATCAGGAGCTGGTTCTCCCGGCTTCTGCTTGTTAGACCACAATCTGGTGCTGTTGGTAACAGCTGTGTCTCGGTGCAGGGAGGGCGTGATCAAGCGTGTTTCTAGCACAAACACAGGAGCTCAGGAATAAAGCCCATTTCCTGAATGCTGCATATATGTTTTATAGGGTAATTCTTGTTTTTTTGTATTATGTAAAAATGTACACAAAACATGTCTTGTTTTCTTTTTCTTTCAGTACAAGAAGCTATTTACGTCTGAAAGTGGGAAGTTGGGTACCGCAGAGAGATTTGTAGCTGGGTCTTTGGCTGGAGCAACAGCACAGACCTCGATATATCCTATGGAGGTATTGGAATCTATCTTTTTCTGATGAATTTAAATTCATGAAATGATCAACCTACCAGACACCTGTGGTTGTTTTAGTGGGATACTGCTCAGTTAACTTGCCTTTCCTATGGCTGTTAGGAATTTATGCAGTGAGATCTCTGTGTTTTGGGTTACTGGGCTGAGATACCATTTGGTGTTGTACTCCCCTTAGGAGACAGAAGGAGCGTATTGATTCATCTATGCTCTCCTTTTACAAATTGTTCCCTAAAATAAGCATACCAACACAGTGTGTTATAGAAAAACAAATGCATTGTATTAGAGTGACACTAAAGCTTTGTTTAAAAAGACAAACAAACAAACATGTCTATACTTATCTGCTGTGTGTAATGGTTTTGCAGAGAGCAGCCCAAATCCCCATCTTTTTGGGTCCCGGCCCGGAGCTCCTCCCCCTCGAGCAGTGCCCCCAGGGAAAGCTGCTGGCCCTAAAGGCACCACTGCGACTCAGCCCCCCCATTCTTTCCTCAGTGGCTCAGTCGATCTGCAGTGCAGTGTCTGATCATCTTCTGCAATATGTCTGCAGTCTCTAATCCTCTCATGTAGCATTTATGCAGTCTCTGATCTTCTCCTGTAGTATGTCTGCAGTCTAGGATAATCTCCTGTAGTATTTCTGCAGTCTCTGATCTTCTCTTGTAGTATGTGAGCAGTCTCTGACCATCTCCTGTAGTATTTCCGCAGTCTCTGATCCTCGTCTGTAATATGTCTGCAGTCTCTTATCTCCTGTAATGTGTCTGATCATCTCCTGTAATATGTCTGCAGTCTCTAATCTTCTCATGTAGTATTTATGCAGTCTCTGACCATCTCCTGTAGTATTTCTGCAGTCTCTGATCTTCTCTTGTAGTATGTGAGCAGTCTCTGGTCATCTCCTGTAGTATTTCCAGTCTCTGATCCTCCCCTGTAATATGTCTGCAGTCTCTTATCTCCTGTAATGTGTCTGATCATCTCTTGTAATATGTCTGCAGTCTCTAACCATCGCCTGTAGTATTTCTGCAGTCTCTGATCTTCTCCTGTAATATGTCTGCAGTAAAACCTTGTGGTTGAGATGCTGCTTTACCTACTCTAACCTCTCCCCTATTCAGTTGCAGAGGCAGTGGCCAAGAGTGTACACACGCCATGGCTACAGTGCTTTGCTTCACAGCTGTAGCAGGAATTGTACCCACTTTAAGCAAGCATAGCAGAAGTCGATCACAACCCAAGTGAAAGGGGTTGCTTGTGCAGGATCAAAGAGGTTAAAGCAGGTGGTAAGGAGGCGATACAGCGCCTCTGCACCACCTGTCAAATTCTCTCTGAAGAGAGAACCAAACACAGATTGTTCTTCAGAGAGCACTACACATGTGAACAAGACCTTATGGGAACACTGGGACTGGTGTGGTGAATAGGGGACACTGTGACTGGCTTCACTGGTCTGGGGACATTGTACTGCTGTGGTGGTGATCATGTACAGTGGATAGCTTCTATAATGACATTGAATGTCATTTTTGCCAGCCATTGTCTCGTATCACTGCCAAAGCAGTACACTTCACTTGCTCTGGTTACATAAAAAAAATACATACTGTCACCAGCCAGAGTAGTGCAGTGTCACTATGGTGACATAGTACTGCTGTAGCTGTTATTGATCAGAGCCAATGGCTGCTGCACTGGTATACGATGTCATCAGTGTAGCAGCCAATGTTTCTTATCAATACAGAGAGCAGTACAATGTCACTGTAATGACACTGTTCTGTTCAGGGGATGGTTGTATTTTTTTTTTTCTCACGCAGATTCCTACAGTCTTGATGACTGTAGGAAGCATTCAGTTCCCTCTCACAGCTGATTCCTGTGAAAGGGAATAGATCAAAGACTGCATGCTTGCAATCTTTGTTTAGATGTGTGATTGATGTGATTTTTCACAGCAATCACATGATACAGGGCCAGTTTCAATGGTCCTGTACCTGAGCATATGTTCCACTGTGTCTTAGGGAAACTGCGATTACCGGGCTCGCCAATGTGTGCTCTAGGAGCTGTGCCCGAGCTGCTGACGCATAGGATGTACGAGTACATCCACCCCCATCAGCACTGCTCCTTTCCACCATTTATGTACACGGGCTGGATGAAAGGCAGTTAAGAATCTGTAATGTTAATGAAACTGGTGCAAAAGGCTTGTCTAAATCTAGGTACTGCTAGTTTTAAAGAGAACAACTGTCAGAAAACTGTCATTGATGGGTTTTTTGTTTGTTTTAAGTGTGTGTTTGTTTGTTTTATGCTTTAGCCTGTCTGGTATTAGGATGGAGCAATGCACTGCTAGATTATAGAGAAAACTGCCATGTATGTTTATTACTGCAGATCCACAGTTTTTTTAGCATGATCCAGAGAGAAAAACATGCTACAGAGTGGACTTACAATGCTGAACATTCAAGCTGCTTGAGCACTTTACATACAAAACTGCATCTAAAACATTTTCGAATATAGTACAACAATATCTGTATTTGAAAATATTTTAGGTGCAGATTTATATGTAATGTGCAGGCAATCTGCTGAGGCTAAGAAAGTACCTTTTTAAAAGCACCAGTGAGTGAGGGCAGCATGGATCTGTTTATGGATGCCACTGCACAGCTTATCTGCTGGCAAGATAAATGGCATCATTAATGGTGTGTGAGATGCTGAGGATTAGCCGGGATAGTTGAGTGGGCACAGTGGGATATTCCATCTTTTAGCCCTCCTAACATATGTGCCATTAACAATAATATATTGTGATGTTTGAGGCGGAAGGGGTGCTCATATCAGCACCAAATGCCAGATCGTCTAGAAATGCCACTGAGGACAAATAGAGAGGGTGAATGTACCTAGCAGGGAAGCCCCGTTTTTCTAAAATCAAGTTAGAATAAGTGAATGACTTCTGAATAAGATGTAAATCAGCAAAACATTTGTATATGTGTATTATGTAGCTGAAGGTTGGTTGTTTTCCAGGTTATGAAGACTCGTTTAGCTGTGGGGAAGACCGGACAATATAATGGAATGTTTGACTGTGCTAAGAAGATTCTAAAAAAGGAAGGTGTTCGGGCTTTTTATAAAGGATATATTCCCAATATCCTGGGTATCATTCCCTATGCAGGCATTGACCTTGCCATATATGAGGTATTCTTTAGTCTTTTATATATTGCTGTATGATTGAAGCATTAAACCCAAAAGCAAACATTTATTATATATTGCAAACTGCCAGTTCTTAGATGTGGTTGCTGCATCAGTTTTCTGTTTTAGGCTTTCTTTCTTTTAGATTCACCTGGTGATCTAGCCAGGAGGTCTGTTTTTCAACAGAACAAGCTGTCCTATAGATGTAGCAGTTAGAGGGTTGAGACAAACCATTTTCCATTGACAGGGGTGCTTACAATGGTCCTCTTTTGTTCGTTTATATAAAATCTTTATCCCAAAAGGAAAAAAAAAAACTGTTTGCTGTAATTGCGTATATGGTGTTAGCTGGAGTTTGGCTTAATTTGTTGTTGTATCTAAATCTGCTAGTACATCTAAGGCCTCATGCACACTGCAGCTCCAAAAAGCTGCTTTTTTTTTTTCTCAGCTTTTTTTTTTTTCTTTCTCTGTTAACTCTCCTCCATCTTAGCCTATGTGTCCATGTACACTATAGGCATTTCCAGGAGTTTACTGACAGGGGAGTTTAGAGGCAGAAAAAAAAATCACTTGTACGTTCAAGAGGGGGAACTTTTGAGCATACAAACCGCTCAGAAGTTCCTTAACGCACAATAACTCTCATTAATGTGCGTTATCGCTAGGTGCATTCCTGCACTGATCCATTTTAATGGTCAGAATTATGGTCAATAGAATGTATGAACACTAGACGCAGAAACGCACATTAAAGTGCATGCAAAACACGTTTTTTTTTTTTCTGCATTTTTTTTCTGCATTTATTCTGCATTTGTGTTGCTGCTAAACTCTTGTAGGAGAAAAAAGCATCAATAGCATACATTGTGCATAAGGCCTAACACTCCCCTCCCCACCAGATGGACAGCACTGTCCAAAAGAGTCTCTGTGTGTCCTTCATCCAGAGTGTATTCACTCTAATACAAGAGGTGTGTTACTGGCTGGATGACCAGGTGAAAACCGAGGGGAAGAAAGCCTAAAAAAAAGAAAACGAATGCAGGCACCATATCTAATGATATTAGATATACAACATATTACATTTTTAGTTTGGGGTATAACGACACTGTTTTGATTAGACTTTTTAGATATGATTTATATCCTGTTTTAATAGTTTTATTCCATGTAATGATCATACAATCAGACTCCTTCTGGCACTTTTGTTCTAAAACGAAGCATAAAGTAGTAGTAAACCCCCAGTGTTTTTAGCCTAAAGTGTATGTTACCCCATAAAATAAGATGGCATGTGTGCGCGCGTGCTTACATATAGTTCACATATTTTGATCGTTATACATATACAGATTTTTAGTTAGAACTCATTTAGGTCTCCTGCCCATGGCACTGATGTTTGAACCTTAGCATTTGTGGACATAATTTCAGATGTTTGTTTTTACGCATATTCACACGAATCTGCATTCACGCACACAATTCCTATGCATAGCCACTAATATTTATGTGTACCGACAAAAAATACTGACTGGAAGCACACATTGTTTCTTTTTTTTTCACTCAAGAATATGCAGCACCCTGTGTGTACAGGCACATTGTAAACAATGGGCTGCATTTTAGATCAGTAAAAAAAATGCTGTACTGAGCTTTTTCAAGCTGCCATTTGCCTTAGAATACTGTGTCCAGTTCTGGAGACCTCACTTACAGAAAGATATTGATAAGATAGAATGAGTCTAGAGACAGGTAACAAAATAGTGCAAGGTCTTGGGGATAAAAACATATCAGGAGATACTTCAGGAACTTAATATGTACAGTCTGGAGGAAAGATGGGAAAGAGGAGACATAAGTGAAATCTTTAAATACATCAAGAGGGGTAAATAAGATTCCGGAGAGAAAAATTTTCAATATTAAGCCAAGATCAAGAACAGGGGGACATGACCTCAAAGTAACTGGAGGAAAGTTCAAAATTAATCTTAGAAATTGTTTTTTTTTTGTTTTTTTTTAATCTGAAAGAGTAGCTGATGCTTGGAATAGACTTCCAGCAGAGGTATTGAGTCAGTCTACAGTAAGTGGCTGCAAACATGCTTGGGATAAACATGGATCTATACTATCTTTTTTTTTTTTCTTTTTTTTTTTTACCACCATCACTCTTCTGTGTTTCTATGTTTTTGTTTTAATTAGTCTCTTAGGCTTGTGAAAAACCTTGTAATCCATCTGGTTCTCCTGGGTTCTGTTTCAAACTGACCACGGCAGCCATGGCAGCTGATCTGTGCTGCTCTGATCAGTTTGCATTCCTGTGATCACTGCTAGGAGTTATGGGATGCTGTGCTGATACACGGCATGCCTGTATCTCCTGTGGTCAGTTGTGTGGCCATGACCCTTCCAGCTCTTGTTCATTTAGTAAGGGGGCAGGCTTATTTACCTGCACACAGTGGGGAGGCTTCCATCTGTGGATGACATTACTTGTCATGGGTGACATTGTGTCACACAGCAGGCAGGCAGTGGGAGGTCTTGCATTACACAGCAGGTGGGTGGGATTACTGACAGTACGGTGCCGGCTTACATCACAGTACCTTCCTGTCTGTTGCTGCATCCCAGAACCAGCTTCAGTTTTCACAGCAAGGCTTCAGCTGGCAGCCACTGTCAGAACTGCAGTTGGTTCTGGAATGCAGCACAGAAAGTGGAAGTTAATTCTCCACTGTTTTCAATGTTAGCCAGCCTGCCCATTGTGTTACATAATCCCACCCGCCAGCCAGCCTACTGTGTGATGTAATCCTGCCCACCCACTGTGTGTAACATAAGCCACAGAGGTGGTACTACTTCATTGTTCACCTAATTAAGTCCACCCTTACTAAACTGACATGCTCTCCCACTATAGTTAAGACTAGGTTCACACCTAAGCAGTTAGCGTTTGAGCCATTTCTGCATTGCATTTTATGTTTTTGCACTTGCGTTTTTGACGTTTTTTTTTAACGCGGTTTGCATTAATTTTTTTTTTTCTTGTTTCAGATTTAAAACGCATCAAAAACACACTATATGCTTTTCTGCTGCATTTCCATTGAAGTCTATAGAACCAGAGAGAAATATATAATTTTACCCCTGTACAAATCATTAGTAAGACCTCATCTGGAATATGCAGTTCAGTTTTGGGCACCAATTCACAAAAAGAACATTGGGGAACTGGAGAAAGTACAGAGAAGGGCAACCAAACTGATAAGGGGTATGGAGGAGCTCAGCTATGAGGAAAGATTAGAGGAACTGAAATTATTCTCTCTTGAGAAGAGGAGATTAAGGGGGGATATGATCTCCATGTATAAATACATCAGTGGTTCATATAGTGAACTCGGTGTAGAGTTATTCACCCTGAGGTCATCACATTGGACAAGGGGGCACTCTTTACGTCTGGAGGAAAAGAAATATAATCTCCAAACACGGAAAGGTTTCTTCACAGTAAGAGCTGTGAAAATGTGGAATAGACTCCCTCAAGAGTTGGTTCTGGCCAGCTCAGTGGATTGCTATAAAAAGGCCTGGATTCTTTCTTAGAGACACAGAATATAACTGGATACTAACGTTTATAGGTAAAGTTGATCCAGGGAATATCCGATTGCCTCTCAGAGGATCAGGAAGGAATTTTTTTCTTTGCTGTTTTTTTTTTGCCTTCCTCTGGATCAACTGTGGGTACAGGATTATAACTTTTTTTTTTTTATGGTTGAACTGGATGGACTTTTGTTTTTTTTTCAGCCAGACTAACTATGCAACTATGTATGTAGCCAAAAAAGCAACTTTTTGTGTTCAAAAAAGTCCCTGACCCTTTAAAAAAAAATGCACCGGGTAAAACGCAGAGATGTGAATGTGTCCCATAGGAAATCATGTTAAATGGACAGCACTGCGTTTCTGCAAAATGCTGCAGAAAACGCTTAGGTGTGAACCTAAAGTCAGAATGATGCAGCTGTGACGTCACATGACAACCAAGGAGTAGATTTTATCAATGTTTCAAACGCTTGTAAACATGTCTAACCGCTTTTATAAGCGTTTGCGTTTGGAAAATTGTTTTAACGCTTCGATTTCCAGATGCTGTCCAGAGCCTTTTTTCATCATGAATAATGCATGCAAAGCGTTTTCCCAGTACTCAAATGGACCTGGTGCACCATACTTTGAGGTTTCGCATGAAAAAAATGTTAGACACTGCTGCAATAATTTCTGCACAGAAATGAGCTGGAACACATCCAAACACCCACAAAAAAAGACAGCTAATCTCAACACATACTGCGCTCTCTGCTTCTGCTCTGTCCATTTATCTCAAAATGTCTGAAATAGGTAATTTGTTACTGTTTTTTTCAGTGCATTCTGAGCATTTTGGAAGGTCTCCTGAAGTTATCTTTTAAAAAACTCTTCTAAATGCAAACGCGCATAAACGCGGTATGCAAATGCAGCTAAACAGACATTTTTAACCTACGTTTTCCAGCAGTCCGTTTCCATCGTTCAGAAGTGTCCCGTGTACATGGAGCCTAAGCCTATTCTATCTATCATTGTAAAGAAAAGATGTGTATACTTAATATAGAAAATGCAGCGCAGCAATATAAACTCAAATAGTGCTCATAATACAAACAGTGTGGACAAGACTTGTGTGCGTGACAGAAAATATGTGCTACATCCAATGTATTCTTCACACATACACATACATCACCAAGGACTTGCACATATAAGTGTTAAATGAATATATACATATACCAAACAAACTATATATAATGGTGAACTGTCCCTTTTAAAGCTCAGAAATCTTCATGTGTGTTTGTGCTATGTGTCTGCTATATATTGTGCTCCAAATACATAAGCAACAAAAATCTCCAAGCAAATGCTGAACCGTCCCTTTTAAATGCGCTATACTCCCAGGTGAATCGGTGTAATCACACTACTGCATACACATGTGTGGTGCTCCTGTGTCACACTTTACTGTAGGTTCACATCTGTGCGGGTGGTGCCACTGTGGATCCGCATGAAAATCGCAGCGCAGCCGCACCACCCGCACAAAGAAATGCGGACCCGCGGGTGGGTGCCATTCGTTTTAATGGCACGCCGCCTGCACTGGAAAATGCTACCGTACTGGGAACAGAGGTTCCTGTGTGGGCTGCGTTTTCCAAAGAAGTGCAGGGACTTCTTCCCTGCGTGTAATGGGCACAGGAGTCCATTCAAATGAATGGGCTCTCGTGCCCATACAAAACGCAGCCCGCATGGCCACATATATGTGAACCGTGGGTTGGTGTACATCCACCTCTAGCCCACTATTGCACTCACCTCCAAGTTTGACCCGTAGTGACAGGTCAAACTACGCTTTTTCCTTTAACCCAAGAGGGTATACTGGTACATAGATCTTCACCACTGTCAGCACTTTAAACTCTCCAGAACGCTCCACAGACATAGGAAAAAATACTCCTTTTAGTGTAATATTGCCAATTAAAACTGACATTATTAAAATGCTCAAATATATATATATATATATATATATATATATATATATATATATATATATATATATATATGTGTATATATATTGTACATTCACATTAGTCCCTAATCCTCAAGGGGTGTACAATCTAAGGTCCCTAACTCGCATTCATATACAGTACATACTAGGGCCAATTTTGGACAGGCACCTACCAGCATGTCTTTGGAGTGTAGGAGGAATCCGGTGTACCCGGAGGAAACCCACACAGCATATATTTTCTGTCACACACACAAGTCTTGTCCACAATGTTTGTATTATGAGCACCATTTTGCTTTTATATTGCTGTGCTGCATTTTCTATATTGATTTACGGTTTACATGTGGGAACACATTATATGCTAGCTGCACAATTTATTTTGTAGGAATTGTATAGCGCTGAGGTTTTTTTAACATGTGTATACTTCCCTTCTGTGAAGCAGCTCCGGCCCAGTCACATGATCTCTCCGGCCCAGTCACATTATCTCTCTGGCAGCGGCTTTTGTGTAGAGGAGAGATCGCCAACAGCGGCTGAAAATGCCTGGGGGATGACGTCATCCATAGGCTTACTATGGGGCACCCGTTGTCAGCTGTCCCTCCTCTACGGTGAAGCCGCCATGGTCAGATGATCAGGAGATTGGTCTAGAGCAGCTTCAGAATAGGTAAGTATACAGATCTTTTCTTTACAAGGTTAGATAGAATAGGTTTAGAATGGAGGTGAGAGCAGGTTTAGCATTCTTTTAGATTTTGACCGATCTTCCAATTTAGATCAGTTGTTGAAAGTGCTTAAAACAATTAAGCATTGATATCAATTGTGCTTGTTCACACTGATGCAGTGCAGGATTCCCAGCAAATTGTGTGCATTTCCCACACCGCATCACAATTGCACTCTGTTCATGGGAACTACTGCAGGTGTCTGTTAAGTTAACTATACCCCAAAAACAGTTTGCAAAATGCAGTGCGATTGGCTGAATTGGATTATATGGGTGTTTACACCCATGCAAACTGATTCCAGAAAAGAGAGATGCCTGCACTTTTGGTGCGGTGCGATTTGCGGTGTGATTTGAGCCTTACAATATGGCTCATATCGCACTGCAAAGAATCACATGATTTGAACAGGAATGCGGTGCGATTCCTGTCTGAATCACATGCGGTTTCCCACACTGTAATAGTGTGAACTGAAACTTCATCATATATCACTTTTCCTGAAAAAAAAATCATCCCCTGATCAGTCGCATACATTGTAAGAAATGTAGCAGGAATAGCTGAGCAGGAAGTGACATTTGTCTTGGAGTTTTGCATGCTAGCTATATACAAAACACTCCCATACAAGGAAGCCATATTTTTTTTATTTTTTCTACCAAATTTAGAAAACCATAGTCTCCCATTTTTTACTCCAGTTTTTTTTTTACTGTTGGTGTTTATTTTGTCATATCTTTTCTTGTACATATTTTTTTGCACTGTTTTTATTTCTTTAGGGCAAGTTCACACCAAAATGTGGTGCTGCAAACCCGTGTGAAATGTGCGCTTCCCGCACCACGCTCCGAATGCACTACAGTTGTGATCTACACTGGGTGTCAATGTTAATGACAACCCAAACTCAGGTTGCAAACGCAATGCGTCTGCCTGCATCAGTTTGTATGGTACAGAAGTACCATAAGATCCTGTTGTTCTGCGTTTTTTGAAGTCGTGCATGCACTACTTTTGCTGCAATCCGGTGCGATTCAGCCCATTCAAAATGAATGCGTTCAATTTGCACTGCACTGAACTCCATGTGAATCAAACAGGAGCACTGAGCTCGTTCCTATGCAAATCCTGGTATAAACTGGCCCTTAAAATGGTTTTTAAAATTCATTAGGCTGATTCTCTAAATTAGGGGTGTCAAACTGGCGGCCCTCCAGCTGTTGCAAAACTACAAGTTCCATCATACCTCTGCCTTTGGGAGTCATGTTTTGTAACTGTCAATCTTGCAATGCTTCATGGGACTTGTAGTTTGGCAACAGCTGGAGGGCCACCTGTTTAACACCCGTGCTCTAAATGCTCTATATAAGGTTTTAAAGAATCCTTAATCTTTTGAAGAACACTTTCATATTTGTATACTCCCACCATCTTCACTGACATGACAACGAGTGTCACTGACATTTCTTAAGGTCAAAATCGTTACATGTTGTTACATTGTTCGTTTGTATGGGTAAGTGTAAAGGGTCAACTGCGGAGTTAGGCTACATTCACACTGATGATTTGGACTGGTTGGCCACCAGTGACCTGTCATTATAGAGAATGGGGCCAGCGGCCACAGCAGGAATCTGATTCCTGCCACTACAATTTGTACCAGTCTAGATCGCCAGTGTGAGTGTAGCCCTAAAAACCCCTGTGATGATCCCTCTCAGTCTGCTGGCACTTATATTGTTTGAGTGGCAAATATCTGCCCAGGGTGGCAGCACTATCTTTCAAAAGGGTGCAGAGGGTATCATGATGGTAAGTATGTGCAGGAGAGGTGGGTTTTTTTTTTGTGGCGACAGGTTCTCTTAGTGGTGACATTAGATATTTTTTAAATCCCTTTTGCTTTTCTGGTTTCCTTGGGATACAAATGAAGGACAGAGAGTCCCTGATCTGCATTGTATCTGAAGATATACAGTATTTCACAATATCTTTTTCTTCTGACCTTGTTGGCTTCAACCAGAAATAACTTGTCTTCCCCCATTTGCCTCATGCAGACGCTCAAGAATGCTTGGCTGCAAAAATATGCTACAGATTCTGCCAACCCGGGGGTGCTGGTCCTGCTCGGCTGTGGCACCGTTTCCAGTACCTGTGGCCAACTGGCCAGTTATCCATTAGCTCTCATCAGGACAAGAATGCAAGCTCAAGGTAAAAAAAATAGTTTATTTGCATTGTAATTTTTACCAAAATAAGGGATCTTAGTAAATGTTCCCCATTTTTATTTTTTATTTGTGTAGAGTTCCTATTCTTTCTTCCAAGAGTAGATGGACTTTGGCATATTGTGTGTGCCTGTGAAATGAGCGTGAATCATGGCATGGGTGCACAGATTTGGCTTGTAGTATTCATGCAGAGTGTGTGTATGTGTAAGCACAGCATCCATTAGCACAAACACTCATTGAACTGCCTGTGATCTGGATGCCAGATGAGCAGATCTGATTGATTTGATCACCCTGATGTGCAGCCAAATTGAATAGTGTCCCTGGCAACTATCTGTATTGCTGCACACCATGATTAACTTATTAGCAAAAGAAACAGCAGAAAGAAGGTTTTAGCTACTTTTGGGAAAATAAAGCGCTTTGGCAAAAACATATATTACATGTCTTATTTTATGATATATGATAAAATAATATAATTCCTGACCTATGAAAGCATTAATACAGTGGGGTTTATTTACTAAAGCTGGTTCACGCAGAATCTCGTGCACTTTTGCATAGAAACCAATCAGCTTCCAGGTTTTATTGCTAAAGCTTAATTGAAGAAGCTGAGGTTAGAAGCTGATTGGCTGCCATGCACAGCTGCATCAGATTCTGAGTGAACCAACTTTAGTAAAGAAATTACAGTGTGTTTAGCTGTCTTCCCTTACCTGCATACTATTTATTGCCCTAATACCTTGTGTGGTCAGTTCATGATACATGTAACAGAACTGTCAGTTTTATGATTCTTCAAAATGCTGTGGTCATCAATAGAATATTGTTCTAAAGTTGAACTCCACTTTGTTATAATACCACTAACTGTTGACTGTGGAATATTTAGTAGCACGGTCAACTGTTAGTGGTATTATAACAAAGTGGAAGCACCTGGGAACAACAGCAACTCAGCCATGAAGTGGTAAGCCATGTAAAAGGACAGAGTGGGGTGTGCGCATGCTGAAGCGCACAGTGCGCAGAAGTCACCAACTGTCTGCAGAGTCAATAGCTAAAGACCTCCTAACTTTGTGTGGCCTTCTGATTAGCACAACAGAGCATAGAGAACTTCATAGAATGGGTTTCCATGCTGCATCCAAGCCTTACATCACCAAGTGAAATGCAAAGCGTCAGATGCAATGGTGTAAAGCATGCCGCCACTGGACTCTAGAGCAGTGGAGACTTGTTCTCTGGAGTGACAAATCTGGCAATCCGGTGGACGTGTCTTGGTATGGCAGTTGCCAGGAAAACAGAACTTGCCTAAATGCATTGTGCCAAGTGTAAAATTAGGTGGCGGGGGGATTATGATGTGGGGTTGTTTTTCAGGGGTTGGGCTTGCCCCCCCCCTTAGTTCCAGTGAAGGGAACTCTTAAGGCATCAGCATACCAAGACATTTTGGACAATGTCATGCTCCCAACTTGGGGATAGTTTGGGGATGGCCCCTTCCTGTTCTAACATGACTGCACACCAGTGCACAAAGCAAGGTCCATAAAGACATAGACGAGCGAGTTGGGGTGGAGGAACTTGATGACTGCAACCCAATAGAACATGTTTGGGATGAATTAGAGCAGAGAATGTGAAGCCAGGCCTTCTGGTTACACACCAGTGCCTGACCTCACAAATGCACTTCTGGAAGAATGGTCAAACATTCCCATAGACACACTCCTAAACCTTGTGGACAGCCTTCCCAGAAGAGTTGAAGCTGTTATAGCTGCAAAGGGTGGGCCAATTCAATATTGGACCCTACGGACTAAGACTGAGATGCCATTAAAGTTCATGTGCGTGTAAAGGCAGGCGTCCCAATACTTTTGGCAATATAGTGTATATCTCATTTGCAGTTAAAATTGTTTTATTAACATATACCTGTCTTAATTGGAGTTTGATATCTACCTTGAGTTTAGCTTTGAAGAACTCTGGGAATGGAGTGGGCAGACTACATCCCTCGATAGCAAATGTAACAATCTCCATTTCACTTAAGCTTCATGCTCCCAGTCAAGAGAATTGTGTCTTTCATGTTGCCAATCTGTCATGCTTTCCCTTCCAGTGCTTTACTTTGCAGCCATCCAGAATTAGTTCTGGGTTCCAAATAATTTTCTGGGTATTTCCCTGACAACCAGCTTGCTGCAATGCAGAGCTCAGAAAGGGTGGAAGATCTCTACATTAAGATAAGAGTAAATCAGATTACCACCAACCTATACCTTATCTAGGGATGCAGCTCTCCCAATCCATTGCAGTAGTTTTTCTTTAAAGTCATGTATGAATGTCTATTGTGTGTATATATAATATAAAACCATTGCTTTATCAAATCATAACTAGTTAAAGTGGTTCTAAAGGCAGAAGAGTTTTTACCTTAATGTAGTCTATGCATTAAGGTAAAATCAATCTGGATGCAACTCCCCCCTCAGCCCCTCTTATATTTACCTGAGCCCCATCTCTATCCAGCAATGTGCATGAGAGCCGGGTCTCTCTCTCCTCATTGGCTCACACAGCAGTGGGAGCAATTGGCACCTGCTGCTGTCAATCACAGCCAGTGAGCCAATGAGGAGAGAGTTTCGGGGAGTTTCGGGGGAGGGGCCGAGCCTTGCTCTGTGTATGAATGGACAATGTCCATTCACGAAAGTAAGCCTGTTTGCGTGCCCCTATAGCAATAGGCTTGCTATTGGCGGCACTCAGCAGGGGGGAGGAGCCAGGACCGCTAGCAGGGGACCCAAAACCATTGCACAGTGCAGGTAAGTATAACATATTTGCTATTTAAAATAGAAAAAAATTTCAACCTATAGAATCACTGTAAGTTTAAAAAAAAAAAAAAAAAAACACTTTTCAGCCTTTGAGCCCCTTGTTCTGCTGATATGCACAGTATATTTACAGCTGGTCAGCAACCAGTGACGTTCTTTGATAGATCTCAGAAGCATGGTATGTGTACTGCTTGCTCCAAGACCTAGTTAAATCCAGATGAATTTGTGCAAAGCAGATAAGGAGTGACTGAATTTTATATTGTGTATACCAGTTTTATGAAAAGTTTATGCTCTGCAATGCTTCAACAGTTGTAAGCATTTTGGCCAAATATAATGCAGTAACGTCAGAAGCTGGCAGTGAACAGTGAACATTTGAGTAAATTGACATTACCATGGGGACTACAAATCAGATACAAGTCTCACTCTTGCCACTTCTCTGCACTCTGACAACTCTATTATAAGTTATACTGAATTTGTGATTTGTCATGATAATTAACATTTTTAGCAATTGGGTTCTTGAAATTGCTCTGCAGAATTTTACAGATTTATAAATCAATGTGGAGAAATTGCTGGTTTCATCATGCTATAGAAATAAATCTTTTTAAAAAAAAATGATCCCACAAAATCTTGTACACATGATAGATTTAGCCTGTTTAAAGACACATCATGCATTTTGAGACATTGAAGAGCAACTGGACTCTGGAAATTGCACCCAAGAAAAGGCAGGCAGGGCAAAGGACTGGTTCACTGTATTGCCTATGGTATCCCTGCAGCTGATTCAGCTGTCTTTCCCTCAGTACTCACTATTTACACTGCCTTGTTCTGCACTGTCTCTGTGTGGAGGGAGCCATTTTTTTTAAAATTAGGCTACTTGTTTCATTTATTATGTTTTGCCTGAATAACAGTTCAGCTGAACTTGTATTTTAATGTGGAGCATATTTCACCATTTATCCAAATTGATTTCCCAGTTCATATGAGTACCTACAGTGGTCACCTCAATTCAAATACACTGCTCAGAAAAAATTAAAGGAACACTTTTTAAATGGAGTATAGCATCAAGCCAAATAAACTCCTGGGATATTGATCTGGTCCGTTAAGTAGCAGAGGGGGTTGTTAATCAGTTTCAGCTGCTTTGGTGTTAATGAAATTAACAACAGGTGCACTAGATGGGCAACAATGAGAAGACTCCCAAAGCAGGAATGGTTTTACAAGTGGAGACCACTGACATTTTTTTCCCTACTCATCTTTTCTGACTGTTTTTCACTAGTTTTGTATTTGGCTAGGGTCCGTGTCACTACTGGTAGCATGAGGCAATACCTGGACCCTACAGAGGTTGCACAGGTAGTCAAACTCCTCCAGGATGGCACATCCATATGTGCCATTACCAGAAGGTTTGCTGTGTCTCCCAGCACAGTCTCAAGAGTATGGAGGAGATTCCAGGAGACAGTTACTCTAGGAGAGCTGGACAGGGCCGTAGAAGGTCCTTAACACATCAGCAGGACCAGGAATGTTATGCTGCCTGTAACATCATTCAGCATGACTGTTTTGGTGGTGGATCAGTGATGGTCTGGGAAGGCATATCCATGGAGGGATGCACAGACCTCTACAGACTAGACAATGGCACCCTGACTGCCATTCGGTATCGGGATGAATTCTGTGGACCCATTGTCAGACCCTACGCTGGTGCAGTGGGTCCTGGGTTCCTCCTGTGAACGACAATGCCCAACCTCATGTGGTGAGAGTATGCAGGCAGTTCCTGGAGGATGAAGGAATTGATACCATTGAATGGCCCCCACGCTCGCCTGACCTAAATCCAATAGAACACCTCTGGCATATCATGTTTTGGTCCATCCAACAATGCCAGGTTGCATCTCAGACTGTCCAGGAGCTTAGTGATATCCTGGTCCAGATCTGGGAGGAAATACCCGAGGACACCATCCGTCGTCTCATTAGGAGCATGCACCGACATTGTCAGGCAATCATACAAGCACGTTGGGGCCATACAAACTACTGAGTACCATTTTGACTTGCTGCATTGAAATTTCAGCAAAATGGACTAGCTTTCTGCATCATTTTTTCACTGTGATTTTTGGGGTGTCTTTGAATTCAGTCCTCTGTAGGTTGATAATTTTAATTTCCATCAAACGATAGGTAATCCTTACATTTCTAACACGTTGCTCAGTCCATATCAGTATAGATATCCAGCATAATATT